GTAAATCATAAACTTTGCTTCTAGATCCATAAATTCATAAAATTCTTATCTGTTCCCTCTGTATAGAGACATGTCAAAGAATTATTTGATAATCATAATCATAGCCCTTTTAAATAAGAGAAAAACTGTATTAAAAAAATCCAGTTACTTTTTACATTCAGAGTTACATTTTACTTTGTGGTATAATGTACCTGTATCTTAGGACTTTGAAACCTGTAATAAATTAACCAAAGTTTTAATTGTTTTCACAGAAATGGAGGTATCTTAAAAACAAATAAAAAAAGAAAAACACAAAGGAAGCAGATATTTTCACTAATTCTTATGAAAAGTATGATAGAGCATAGGACCCTAAGTGCAGGTGGAATAAGCTGGAGCCCACAAGAGGGCAGCAAAATGCAGCAGTTCTTTTTCTTCAAAATCTGAATATGTAAAACTGCTTTAAGCTGCAAGTGGTAAATCTACAGAAATTCAGGTTGAAGAAAACAGACTAAAAGCACAGGCTATGAAGTAAGTTATGATGCTATAAATACAGAAACACTGTGAAGAAAATACAAGATAATTCATCTGTATATTGGAACAGATATTAAAATTCATGTAGATCTGAAAATTCTTTTTTTTTTTTTTCTGTAGACAGGAAAGCTATCAAATACATATTATATAGAAATTTGCACAAAATCCTAAGAAAGCCTAGCGAGTCACGTCTGAGTCCTTCATAGAACACTGATTCATAATTTCTAAAGAGCTAGGCCAATATTTGTAAGTGGGCACATGTCTCAGTGAATAAACAAAAGACCAGGGCTCAAAAATCTTGGGTTTAATGTTTAATTATTTTTGGTAAACATCAATGCTTTTTGTTTGTGACTCAACTGTAAGCAGCTTATGCAAATTAAGTCTAATAAATATAACCTACCATTGGTTTTATGCTTTCAAATAACAGAAAAATAATAAAAATAAAGTAAAATCATACGTATTACAGACATAATAGGACACTCTAGACTATTTAATGGGAAAAAATATCTTGGGTAGATATAATGTTAGTTGCAAATAAGTAAAATTGAAAGATGAAAGAAGTTTAAAAATGTTTCAAGTACGAAATGCTTGGAAAATCTAATGTGTTACTAGAATTTTCTGCAGATTGAATATTTAATCATTTTGCTTATATTGTTAAGTTTTTTCCATTTTCTTGGTTATTAGAGAAGACAGCCACTATTACTTCATAAAGTTTCATTCTCTGTGATTCCTTCATTTTTTTTCTAATTAATAAAAAGTCCTTTGTTACTGTTTGGCACTTCAAAGATCTTGCTTATATTCAAAACCAATATATATCATTTACAGATTCCATTTTAATTTTATTTATTTATTTTGGCAGTACTGGGAATTGCATTCAAGGCCTCATGCATGCCAGGCAGGCATTCTACCACCTGAGTCACATTCTCCAGCTGTATTTTACTTTTAAAAGGGCCAAGTTGAGTTGTCACTGAAGAATGAGTTTGTTAAAGCGGACAATTCAGTTCTACTTAAGTTAAATAAAATGATAAAACAATAAATATATAAGGTGGTAGGCACAGCTCATGCCTAGCTACTTTGGAGTCAGAGCTCAGGAAGACTGTGGTTTGAGGCCAACCTAGGCAAAAAATTCAAAAGACCCTATCTCAACCAATAAAAAATTGGGTGTGATGGCATAGACCTATCATCCAGCTATGTAGGAAGCATAAATAGGAGGACTGAAGTCTAAGCTGGCCCGGGCATAAATGTGAGACCCTATTTGAAAAATACCTATAGCAAAAGTGGCTGGAAGAGGGGCTTAAGAGGTAGAGTGCCTGCCTACCACAAACAAACACATACACATATATAATATATAAATGAGGAAAAACAGTTACGTATTGCAAAACTGCCAGATTAAAATGTTTAATCAAAATTTGAAGGACTAGGGGTATAACTCAGTGGTAGAGTACTTGCCTAGCTAGCCTAACATGTGCAAGTTGCTGGACCTGATCAAGTGTCATAAAAAAAGTACAACAAAACTTGACGCCAAGATTGAGCAATTAAAAAAATAAATGTATTAGTTTCCCTTCACAGCATCCTTGAAATTGTGATGGTCTAAAGCTACCTATGGAAGAGAGGGATTAAATACTATTCAAAGGGAAGAGAAATAATAATAAGCAGCTGCCATAAGAACATATGTATCTAAAAAGTAGCAACCAATAAAATGATGCATAGGTTAATAAACGTTTGGAAAACCACCTAATTCTGCATTCACTGATGGAGTTTTAGAGAGACTTTAAAAGAAGGAAAATTTTGAGTACTATACTCAAGGATTTTTAAGTTGAACAAAATATTATTCGATAATAATAGAATATGCTACCTGTGCAAGTATTGCAAGAAACATAAACTGAAAACCTGCATGGAAAATTTCATGATTGTATAGAAAAACAACAAAATGTTTAGTAATAGTTCTAAACATTTAATTTTACCAATAAATTCATATTATGTAAGGCATTATACTGAATTATAGTTGCTATATAAACAATTATTAAACACAGTTCTTTAAAGAAAATAATTTGTGAAAGACTAACAATAGTGGTCAGGAATACTATTTTTTAAAAGTTTACCAAGAGTACTTGGCGTTTTTTATCTTGAAAAGCTTATGTGAAAAGCTTTTTAAACTAGCAGCTTTGTAAACAGACTTTTTAAAGAGAATTACTTAGGCTGGGAAAGGGGTGGATAAAGTACGTCAACTTCTTGTGTAATAAAACACAACCGTAATATAAGCTTTGTAAATCTCTTGAAACCTCTGTATCTTCACAATAAAAACATTAAACAGATAATGTGTCAGATAATTAAGATAACTTATGAAGCTTATTTTAATGTTGTAAAGACCTACCAACAAACAGAACTGTGTGATTTTTTTTTTTTTCCCAGTGCTGGGGTTTGAACTCAGGGCCTATACCTTGAGCCACTCCACCAGCCCCTTTTTTTGGGGGGGATGGGTTTTTTGAGAGCGGTTCTTGCAAAGTATTTGCCCAGGCTGGCTTGGAACCACAATCTTCCTGATCTCAGCCTCCTGAGTAGCTAGGATTACAGGCATGAGCCACTAGCACCTGGCTGAACTGTGTGATTTCAATGAAGGTATCAAAATACTAATCATTATCCAGAGGCTTTTGTCTGTCTTTAATCAATTAATTTAAAGCTTAGAAATAAGCTGAGCAGATGCAACTGTCTAGATTTGCAATATAAGTATTTCATCATTTCTATGGAGGTGTTTTGCATCTTTTGAGCAAAACAAGTTGTAGCTTTTCAAATCTACAACTCGGCAAAGCAACTGAGAATGAGAATTGTTTTGAAATAAGTAATGCAAAAAAAAAAAAACCCACACTGTCAAAGAAAAATGCAATATTAACACTGGTTTAGTAATATCAACAAGTTTTTGTACTTAGAAATGCCCACAAGAGGTAATTGCTTATTAAGGTGCTAGCAGATGTTGCATTCTTTTCTACTGCACATCAGAATGATTTTAGGTCTATTAGTTATAACTTCACCCAGTAACTTCAGTAAATTTGAACAATGACTTGACTTGCTAACTTATTAACTAAGTAATGTAAAAGGTAAGTTCTCTCTGAAATAACAAAAAATGGTAATCCTTTTTTCCAATTCATATTAATTTTTTGCATTAATATTGTACTGGATCCAGTAACATTGAGATTATCTAGATTATCAGATACTACAAATGTGAAAAAGAATCATTTCAAGTAAAACCTGTATCATACCCACTGGGAAGATTATATGATGAAATCTTACTTAATTCTCACAGACTACAATAAAGGTTTTACTGTCTTTCATCGCACATAGAAGGACTTAAGTTAGTTACTTTACTAGGATCAGAAAGTTATGGCAAAGCTGGAGCTCAAACATGAATCTGTATGATTCTAGCACTAGCCACTTGACTGTATGAGTTGCTAAAATAAAGTCTTAAGCCTTTAGTATTGTACTCAGCACTGATCCATAATTGAGCTATGGCATTATACTGCTGAGAGATTTTTGGCTTCTTTACTAAATAACTGAATTCTGATATTTGACAATGCAAGCACTACTTATTAACATTCCATTAAAATCCTAAGGCAGTGTGGTAAATTCAATCAGGAAAACTAGTTTTGGGTCCTAAATCTACTAGTATATCAATGTCTTTTAGAAAAATCACATAAAAAAGTGGGTGTTAGGTTTTGGTTTCTTTTTTAAATATCCAAAGTGAAGAAGCTGCAATGACAGCCCTTTCTCTAAATGTTACAATGTAACTTGAATGTTAATAGAGTGCCCACTCTATGCTAGGTAGGTAATGAATGTCCACAAATATGAAACCACACCTATCATAGTTCAAGGCCGAGCATCAAACTCATGATTTTTTTTCTTTTCTTTTTATAGTGAAGGCTAAAATAACCAGACATCATGCAACTTTTGGAAAGAGGGTTGTAAGTGATTATTTTGCAACACTAGATATTAATTTTACTTAGGTAGATACACTTGGGCACATGTATATGGACTCAAGACTATGACAGAATGAAGAGAAAGGGATGTCACTTAAAGTAAGTAACTATTTTAAAGATGCAGCAGAGATCTGAATTACCTTCATTAAAGGAAAGGGGCTGTATTCAGTGACTGAGTACAGAGAAGAACTGCTTTACTCAAACATTTTGACTTCCTGAACTGAAAAACCACATCCTTTACCAAGAATACCAGTCATTATTAAACAGAGATCCTAGATGAACATACTATGCACTTTAGTGAGCCTTTCTTAACTAGGGTTCTGGGAGACCATACAGCCTTAATACCATAAGGCATCTATATTAAGTAATTAGCTCAACTTTTCCCCCTCCATATCTAAAATTATAATAGTTATCTAAAATCCTTGGGAAAAATTTAAAAAGTCACTTTCTGTGTTCTGTCAACCAGAACAGAAACTCCAATTGAACTCATGATTTTGCCAGCATTTAACAGCTTCTTACCACTGCAAACAGAAGAGGTGAGGTTGTACAGAAAAGGATAAAACTGCATACAGCGGATCAACTTCAGGCTGTTTTCACACTCTGGGCATTTGGTAGTTAATTTCAAAGCCTGTCTAAAGGCTTCAAGTGCCCCACTGATATTCTTCAGAGCAAGGTAAGCATTTCCCAGGCTCAAAAAGGTCAGGGGCTAAAAAGAAGAAAAAAAAAATCAGGAAAATGTTAATGAACTAATATTTTCTGAGTTACAAAACCTTCACGGTACTGTTTTTGGGCTTTTCTGGGTACCCTGTCAAGGTAATTGCCATCTACCTGCTTTAGTCACACCAGTCAATTCTAAACTGTGTAGCATCTGTAAATGTACCTTTTACTTTTCACTAGATAAAAAACATCTATCTAGTCTTAAATGTATAACTCAGTGAATTTTTATGAATGAATATATCCCTGTAACTGCCACTCAGCTCATGATATAAAACATTTAGTATGTTTCTGGTATCCCAGGAGGTTCCTTGGGCAACCTAACCCCACCCGAAAAGGAACCACTGCTGTTATGCTGTGACTTCTATTAATAAAAATTAGCTGCTTGTTCTTAGATTTCATGTAACTGTAAACAGATTGCATGTTCTCTTATATGTACACTTAACACAGTCTTTTTTAGCTTCCTTCAATTCACCTAAAATTCATTCATGATTTTTTATCAGCAGTTCATTCTTTTTTTCCAGTTAATGTGTTATATTGTACTATTGTATGGAAATGCTGAAGTGTCTATTCCACAGTATATTCATATCCACCATGTATTATATTGATTCTTCTACTAATTGGCATTTAGGCTCTTTCCAGCTTCTGGCTATTATAAATAAAGCTACTGTGAACATTCTTATAAATATCTTTTGATAGGTATACTACATTCATTCTCCTTGGGTACATAATATCTAGTACTGGAACACAAGGTTAGTATATATTTAGTTTTAGTAGATACAACAAAGATTAAGTCATAGAAAAGAAAAACAATTTTTTAAAAATTTCTTGTGAAGACACTTTGAATCTAACAATAGAAATCAAAATTAAGAAGCTTAAGGGTAATTTTTCAAAGCTAAGCTAAAAAGGCAAAGAGGAAATATTTTTAACATGTGACTGTATTTTTTAATGCTTTTTGGCAGTATTGGGATTTGAACTCAGGGTTTTGTGCTTGCTAGACAGGCACACTACCACTTGAGCCATGCCCCCAGCATATGACTTTAGTGCTCATACAAAATTTTAAAAAGTAAATTCTTTTATTCAGCTATAAAGTAGAGTGAAATTGTCATTTTCAGGTAAATGATGGATCTGAAGAACATCAATCCAGGTTCCGAAAGCCAAAGGCAGCATGCTTTCTCTCATATGAGGAATGTAGACCTAATACAAATACAAACATATTATGAAAAACAGGTCATACTAACGGGAGGTCACCTACAGGAGAGGGAGGGTAAAAGAAGGAAGTTAAGAAGGTGAATATGGTTGATGTACTTCCTATACAAGAATGAATACAAAATTTTTAAACTGTTGAAACCATCATAAGAAAGGGACTAAGGTAGAAAGGAGAAAAATAGAGGAGCTGAATCAATTTGGGTTATAATACATATGTACATAGAAATGTCACAATGAAACACCCTGTATAAATATTTTAAATAAACAAAAATGTCTTTTTTCAAAAATGGAGAACAGGAAGATAAAACAGGTGCTGTCTGGGGGGTTGGTGGTGGGGGGAGGATATAAGGAAAGGTTATAAGGGAGTGAATATAGTGGAAATATTATGTAGTCATGTATAAAAATAGAAAAAGTGAGAGCTGTTGAAATTATTCCAGGAATGGGGGTAGGAGGGCTAAAGGAGATGATGGAGAGGGTGAATTTAATTGTGATATATTGTAAGAACTTTTGTAAATGTTACAAAGTACCCCCAGTACAACAACACGATAAAAAAAGAAAAATAAATTTAAAAAATAAATTCTAACAAAGTCAGCCAAATGTACAAACTTTTACCTTAAAATATATTAAAAGATTAAAACAATCATGTTACAACAGAAAAGTGCCATTTTTTAAACATGCTAACTTGTTTTTTAAGTGTTAATTCAGAGGCAGCACATTGCTGAAGAGCACCGAGACCAATCTCCCCGAGTTCAAATCCCCCCGAGTTCAAATCCAAGCTCTGTGAGTTTTGGTAAACCTCATAATTTTTCCATTTATTTAACTCTTAAGATTGCTCATCTATCCAAGAGAAAATTCTATCTCATGGGGTTGTTCTGCTGAATAAATGAACTATTACATATAAAGTGCCTGGTTCTGTTTTAAAAAAAATAATCAAGAAAAGTTCAACTAAGATTAAGATACAGATGAGAATTTTTAGATCTTAATCATGGTAATATGTATTGGTCCAAACTTTTTGGTGCACTATTTGCATCTTGCATCAGAGTTATCAAAACATTCATTCTTTCATTAATTTATTAATTCTTAGCTATGATTGCTAAGAAAATTATATGGAATACAGAAAAGGTCTTATGTAGAAAACCACTATTAATAGTAGTTAATTATTGTCAGCAACCTAAAAAATAAATTGTGGCATGTTAATTTATAGAGTTTTTATTTTAAAAAAGTTTAAAATTATGGATTTAAAAACTATATAGTAATGAATTTTTTAATACATAAAGCTTTAAAGATCACCCAAACAGCTAGCAACACTATGAAATTCTTGCACAGAAGTCATGCTTACAAGTCAGCATTTCCAAATGTAAACAGTTGGGGGGTTTTTCTGGCTAAGGAATATTTTTGGTGTACCTACCTTGGGGTTCATTATTCTTATTACAGTATCACAGTATTGAACAACTAAAATTTTAATGCAATTTTAAAAGACAGAATGGCAACTAATCTCTCAGAGAGCTCTCAGAACAATACTACCTAATTGTCTCAGCTGGTAGCAGTAGAAAGTAAACCCTAAGAATTTCATATAAATATATCTGCATTGAGTTTTCCAGTGGAATGTCTACTTCTTCATATCCCATATTACATGCATATCATCTGTTCTCACTATACCAGCATCTGGTACACAATAAGCAATGGATAAATATTTGATGTACTTGTTGACAACCTGACCTGTTAGACAGAACAGAGATTATAACCTATTATATTGCACAGAGATTATAAAATTTTACCTAAAATCCAGTTGTACATTTGTGTATTCAAAAGCCAACTCTTAACAGATAATATTTTGTTCTCATACTTAAAAAAATTACTTTTAGAATACTTTAAACCTAAACTACTCATGCATACCTCTTCTAAAGTTTTCTTTGTATATAAAATATATAAACATTTAGATATTAGGTAAGATCAACTTTATTATATAACTGTATTTCATTAAGCTTAATATGACAAAACTAAAGCACACATCATAATTTCAGAGATACTAAAATATGACCAAAAAAAGACATATGTTATCTTTGAAATAGGGACTATAGTAAACCACAAAGCCCTTATGTAACTCCATGCACTGACTATATGTGGAATATGCAAGGCATGGATATTAACAACCTATTTATTCTTATGACAACAACCTTTGAATGATGCTCTGGCTCGGATGGTATAAATATATCTATAAATTAAAGCTGCAAAATAGTGTAATATTAAGCAGTGTGCATGCTGTGATGAATAGGATAAAATAAGAACCAGGTGTTTCTGACTGACATAAAAAAGTGCAGTATGCTTTTATAGCTATGTCATCCTTATTTAAATGTAAGTTTCTAAAAAGAGTTAATTGGGTAATTACAAGTTTCACTCATTTAAAATAAAAAAGAACAAATAAAAATAAAACAGAAATATATTTATGTTCTCTTTTGAAATATGCAAATTCTACACAAAAAGCAAAGCATGACATTTTTTCATGCCTTTCACAGAAAAATTACAAATTGTATTCTAAAGCTGAGTTACTCTACATAGCATATTGAACTATAAAAACCAATCCATCTATCAATCAATAAAACCTTACCTCAGAGCTATTAATGGCTAAAGCTTGAAGCAGCAGCTTAGTAGCATCGAGGTGAAGGCCATAGTGAATCAGAAGGTTGGCCAAGTTTACAAGAGGAATGTCCTGGTATTGAAGTGGAGCTAAATTCAAAGCCCTCTGAAGACAAGCAATAGCAAAAGTGCTATTTCCTACTGCTCTCCAGTAGAGTCCAGCTTCATTGAGTATGAGCCAGACAGGAGCATTTGGCTGAAAAATGCCAAAATACTTCAGTTAGTTAAAAAAACACAGTACTTACTCTAAATAGCATCTTTAATAAGTACATTTAAACTTTTAAGAATAATTACTTAACATCTAAGTTTCAGATACCCAAAGTAAATGACTTACCTTGTTAATAGCATGAAATAAGAAAGACCCAATTTCTTCCTCTGGGATAGTATAGTTATTAATGCGGGAAAGCAAAATCTGAAAACATCAAAAGGAAGACTGACTCAATTGAAAATAACAGGGAAGACATTACAAAAGAATTTCTAAAAAAAAAGAATTTCTATGGACAGCAATGTCTTTTCTTAAGCTCCTTAGGAATAGCTTCTTCGAACAGATACTTATTATCAAATATGGAACATGTGGTCCTGGCATACCAACAGGTGCTGAACTACTCACATATATACACTAATTTCCTTTATCTAAAAAAAGATGAAAGATACACACATACAACACACACACACATGTTAAAGTCATTCACTGTAGCCCATTTAAAGTCAACCTCAGTGACCATAATCCAATGAGAAAATATTCAAAAGACAGCAATATGCAACATCCGATGTGATAAGTACCTGCTATCTTCCCTAGCTGGAAAGCACCAGATCCCCAATTAATCTACTTTATGTTCTTATAATATTTATATAATTGTGAGCAACTCTAAAAGAAAGGTCATTGCCTACTTATGTATTCCAAGTGCCCAAAACACTGCCTGATAAATGGCATTTTTCTGCCTCAGTAATGTGTGCTGAATAAGTAGCAACTGCTTGTAATTTTGAAGTTAAGTTTTTACAAAGGTGGTTATGAGCTGGAGGTGGTTATGGGCTCCAGTGGTAGAGCACCTGCCTTGCAAGCACTAAGCCTTGAGTGCAAACCCCAGAACCACCAAAAGGGAGAAAAAAAGAGTTGGTTGTGATGCTGTGTTTTTTCCAGAAAAAGGTAATTATTTCATTTATATCTATGGGCTAGTATCTAGTGTAGTAATCTATATTTAACAATAAAACAATCCTTGTCATTCAAAACTAATAGAAATTAATGAAGAACTTATCTGTAATTTTACAGAGTGGTTACCAAATTAATACAGATTCCTAAGGACCTGATAAAGACCAAAGCAGGGACGATGAGACCAGGGAAACAAAACTTTCAAGTTTTCACTTTATATAAACTTGTGAAGGCTCAGAGGATGCAAGGCTAAACTGAAGTGCTCAGAGTGGCCTCTGTGAGACTGGCCCTGCTAGGTAAATGAGAGTTCTGTGTTACTCATCTTTGGAGCCCTCTGAGTTAAAAAAATCAATAATGCTCAGGTAGTACAAATAGCATCCCTGAGGAACATTCCTGGCACTCCTTTATAGCAGGACTGACTTCTGAATCATTTCTTTAATTCTATCCTTCAGTTTTGTAACCAGCTGCCTTCCTTCAAACTTCTGTTCCATTTAAGAGCCTTCTTAAGTCACCCAGTATGGACGGCAATAAATACCAGCCTAAGTGAGCCTTACTTTTCGTGCATGGTCATCTGGTATTTTGGCTTTCAGATCCATGCGGACCTCTAATTCTTTGACTAAGTAGGACAGAGTGTGGCTTTTTCTGAAGTCAGTTATGGAACAGTCAGGGGTTTGGGCCTCTTCTTCTGAAGAATAATCATCACTGCTGAGCTCGTGGATCCTGGCATAAGAAAAAGGAACAAGATTCACATTTTCAAAGTTTGGATGAGTTCAAGATAAAGACTTAACCTTTCAAGTCCAAGGCCGGTGCTCTCAAAGAGCCGTCAGATGACAATCATGCAGAATCAGGTGCTTTGTCAAAGCCATCAGCACTTGCCTGAGTCCTTTGTTCTCCGGGGGCAGAAAGTATGTTGGCAATTCCCCGCCAACAGGGACTTGAGGATAGCTTTCTGTACAATCTGCTCTTTTAGGCCACAGAATATGCTGTTTGTCCTAAGAAAGAAACAGAATTTCTCACAGATTACTTTGGATTCAACATTTCAACATGCTAAATGGACTGTTAGAATTTAAGTACACTAGGATAACTGAACAGAAATGTATTATTATAAGGTAAATGTAGATATTGTGGTACTCTATAATATTTCTTTTACCACAGATTATTAGTCTAAACCAGTTATTCCACCTGCTTCACCACAGACTGGTTCAGGTTTGGGCAGGCCTCAATCAATTGAGCCAATGAGACACAAAAAGAGATTTGCTTTAGGTTTCTAGAAAGAAAAGCAAATCTTAAGTTTCTTATGCTGCATACGAACAAAAAGTGAAGTTACTGCAGTTGCTGCTGGATGCCATCTTGTGACCAAGAGGAAAACAAGGTTTCACATGAAACCAATACTGAGTGTGGCAGAGTGAAGAAAAGGGAAGAAATGAGTCACTGATGACATTACCAGGCCACTGAGTCAACCAACCCTCAAGTTCATCCACTCTCTGAACTTCCTGCAGTAACAAGAGGTTTAGTTTATGACTTATACTTGAAAGCGTATAATATTATATGTGTATAATATTAGCATAGAAAAACTCAGGCAGAACCTATGTTCTACTCATCCTACCTAGCAGAATGCCTTCCATTTCATAGAGTTTATAAATGTTTGCTGCACTAAGCTGAACAGTGCTGGAGGCCATAACAGTGACTGAGGTTGAAGGCCACTGCTTTAAGAGGTCTTCTCTGTTGAACAAAGCTCATTCATCACCCTTTAGATACTCACTCTATATGCATCAGAGTCCCGGCCCCAGATCCAGAGAATAGAATGGGCTACAGGAGAAGACTTGACTGAGTCACTAATATCACTCTGATTTGCAGGAACATCAAAGTTCACAGACATCATACTGGAGGTGGATGAATCCTCACCAAACTAAGAAATGAAAAGAAAGATCAACCCAACTGCAAGTAAGAAAGGAGTTATGACCAAAATTTAACTCACACTAAAAAAGCTAGTGAATAGCCACAATTAGTAAGAAATCAGGAAGTGGGTCAGCAATAAAACAATCAGATCTCTTAATTTTAAGAACTAGGCCCCAATAGTATTCTTGCATGGATACACAGTTAGCAGCTTTCAACAAACTTTGCAGTTGGAGTATGACAGAAACAGAATGGATTGCTTCTCTGCCCCTTTGCTTCCTCTTTATGATTTAGTTTCCTAACTATCTAACTTAGAGATCTGGTTCCTCATTTCCCTCCCATGCCTAGACTAAAATGATTACCACTCTATATGTGGGTAGAAGGAAGCTTAAGAAAGCATTCTTAAGGGTTTACTATAGCTCCCAGTTAGAGATTACAGACTATTGTCAATCAGACCCAAATACAAGCATTAGAGGTGGAAAGAGAAACTAGAAAATAAAGGAACACAAATGTGTGTGTGTGTGTGTGTGTGTATCTTTCCTCCAAACCAAGGTAAAACAATGTTTGACATACTTATAAGATACTACAGTTCTTGTGTATTTCTGAAACCTTGCTAGGTAAGGAGAATGGGACTGGTGATGGGATTAGAAAAGATAGGAGAAAATGGAATGAATATGATGAATTTGTAGTTCTATGCTTTATGAATACAAATAGATTCTTTCACTATACATTAGTGATAAAATTTTGTGAATAAAGACTTTTGGAAGCTATGTTAGTGCAGGGCAGTCTTGATACCATCAAAAAGTCAAAAAGCTACACTGGGCTTCAATCTACTTTGTTTCTAAACATTCCCTTTTCCCCCTTAAACTGCTCAGATTTAAGGCAGGTATAAATCTGCCTTCATTTATTTCTTCTCTTGAAAACCAAACCTGGAGGCTAGGAATGTGGTTCACACCTGTAATCCTGCTTCTCAGGAGGTGAAGGTCAGGAGAATCACAGCTCAGGGACAGAATGGGCAAAAAGTTAGTGGACCCCATGTCAACCAGTGAGCGAGGTATGGGGGTGAGCACTTCAATCCAAGATAAATGGGGGAGCAAAGGTATCAGAATCGCCATCTGAGGCCAACCCTAGGCAAAACTGTGAGACCCTATCTGAAAAATAACTAAAGCAAAAAGGGATATTGCTAAGAACTGGCTTGTAAAAATCATAAGAAGCTTTGGTTCATATTATTACTTCTCCTCTTAAATAGACTGTTCTTTTTTTTTTTTTTTTTTTGCAGTATTGGGGTTTGAACTCAGGGCCTACACCTTGAGCCACTCCACCAGCCATTTTTGGGGTTGGGTATTTTCAAGATAGGGTCTCACAAACTATTTGCCCAGACTGGCTTCGAACTGTGATCCTCCTGATCTCTGCCTCCTGAGTAGGTAGGATTACAGGTGTGAGCCACCAGTGCCCGGCAGCCTGTTCATTTTTGCTTCTTACTCTTTCCCAATATTGTCTGAGTTTTGTCAGATTAAAGGGCTCTAATTTTTTGTAGTTTGTCCTCCTAAAGATGCTCTCCTGACTTCCTATTTTAACAGCTATTTTAACAGGGTAAAATAGGTCTTATCTAGGATAGGATAAATTTTCAATATTCTTTCTTATGACACTCCCTACATCACTTACCTAGCAACAGTTACATTCTATTTGGTATCATTATATTTATGGATTATTTCTTCTCAATTCAGTAATGATAGTATGCATGTGTATGTGTCTGTGAATGTGTGTACTTTGTTGATGTATGTACACAGACAGAAACATGAGAGAAAAAGCATATACACCTAGCAATGGTGCTTAATAAACATTTTCTATTGGTAATGATTTTTTTTTTTTTTTTGGTGTTTTTGATGAGGCAACCTAATTGGATTGATGAGTTTAGGACAGAGTTTTGGGTTAGGTCTTATTCATAGCTTAAGATGTGACATAAAAACTCTGAGATAAACAGTAATAACAGCTCAATTCTAGCTCTCATGGTAAAGGAGAAAAGAATCAAACACACATGCATATACATGTACAGAGAGTACTTATGGAAACAGAATGTCATCCAGGGAGTAACTGAGTACTCACAGCTAAACCTGACTTCATAAAATAACAGACACTCAAAATCTTAAAAAGCTTTAAATGACAGCCACAAATTTTTAACAAATTAAACATACAAGAAATCAAAGGAGGAAAACAGTATTATTCTTAGATATTCAAATGTTTCTAAGAACTGGAAGAGACAAGAGAAAGACCTGAACATAGTCCACGTTTTCAAAAATATCTCCTCGATGGTAGCGCACAGGCTGGTCCCACTGGCAATGTAAACTGTGCTGCTGGTTGACCAGACGGCATATCTGATGATTTCCTGGTGTTAAGAAAAAAGTCACACAAATGACGAGCAAGGTTGGCAATGCAAACACACTTTCCTAGTCTAAGTAATTTAGCTTTAACCCTGCATCCTTCAGAATCTAGCAGAGAGTACTTATTCAGGGGTATTTATACAGAAGAACAGTTAGTTAAATCATTCTAAAGAAGCCCCACTTTCTCCACCAATAAGACAAAAGGGCTCCACTAGGTGATTGTTGAAGTATCTTCAGGCAATTACATTCTATGACGATCAAATCTATTGTTTACATAGTTTTAAGAGTCTCTGGCCATTTCTCTGGAGAGATCTGCTTTATACGCTTCCTAATTTTGTTTCAAATGAATATACAAGAGCTCTCATTGCATTAGTACAGACTGAGCAGTGAATAACCTTAAAGATTGGACACACTCTTTGCACTCAAAAAAGCAAAAAAAAATCTCTTAGGTGGGTCCTGAAATGGACTAGAAATGGTCATGGCTAAGGTTCAAAGCTTAAGAGGTTTTCCAGACCAATATATTTATCAAAGAATAATAAGAGTACAATTTAAGGAATTCTATCAATTTATCTTCTGGTATGGAACTGTCAGATCTGCTCCCTTGAGACTCAATCAGAAAAAAACATTTTGGATATGACCAAATCATGATCTCCTACCAACCCAAGTTCCCATAGACCAGTGGTTCTATTTTTTAGGTCACAAAGTCTAAGAGACTTTAATAAAAGCTAGATACTATTTTCCCAGAAAAAAGAACTGTACACATAAAAAATATGAGATATAATGTTGGAGATAAATTCAGAACCTCATGCAACTAGTTCATTGACCCAAGTTAAGAATCTGCATGAAATAATTCTAGTCTAAAATCTTATTTCTAAAATAGTGTTTGTTCTTAAGGGAGCAACAAACAAACAAACAAAGGCTATTTATCTTGCCAGTGTTAGCCAAAGAGTGTGCAGGTTATTGTTTCCATGGCTGTCTACCTAGTACTTGCTCAGTGAGCCCTTGTTATCTACAGTTTAGTTTTTAGATCAGCAGCAATAGGCATCACCTGGGAATTTTTAGGGAGGCAGAATCTTGGGCCCCACTTCGGATGTCCTGAGTCATTTTAATAAGTTTTCCAGAAGATTGATATGCATATTTAAGTTGGAAAAATACAATACTCCTGCAATCTAGAAGACTTGGTTTTTATTTCAAAATGTTAACAAGAAAGTCATTCAAGCCAGCTCTCCAGGCCTCCTAGTATACCTACAGTGATGCATCTTGACTTTAAGATGCATTATTTAAGTCATAAACACACTTTATACTACTTTAAGGCTTCATGAAAGTTATGAAAGTAAAGCAAGCTAGAAGTGAATTTCCTAAACTGTTTTCAAATTACATGGAGTCACTACTCACCTAACTGTGCTTCTTTTGCCATCTGAGTCTCATGGATGATATTTCTTAGTATTTGCTCTTCCTGAATCAGCTTGTGCTTTTCCAGGATCTCCTGCTGCCTCAGGTAGTGGTCATGCTGCTTCTGGTATTCTTTCAACTCATTCAGTGTTCGCTGGAGAGATCTTAACATTTTTTTAATACCAGGAAAAGTTAGGACTTTAAAATCCCAAATTTAAAAACTTATTTAAATGTACATACTTCTAGTTCTTGGCAATGATTGCTATTAGTGTACAATCATGTAGCACAAATTCAAGAATAATAGGGCTAAATAAATGCTATTCTTTTATTAATACTTGAGGAGAAGAGCAGAGATGCAAAAATCTTCCCTTGGGGCTAGGTATGATGGTTCATGCCTGAAATCCCAGCTACTTGGGATGGAGGTAGGAGTACTGTGGTCTGAGTCTGACCTGGGCAAAGGCATGAGACCTTTTCTGAAAAAGAAACTAAAAGCAAAAGTACTAGGGGCATAGGTCAAGTGGTAGAGTGCCTCCTAGCAAGCAAGAGGCCCTGAGTTCAATCCCCAGTACTGCCAAAAAATATAAAGTCTTCCTTTAAATACAACCATCTTGCCATCGAGTGGTATGCTGGGCTTTTCAGGTGCTATAAAAATTTCATACCATCGTCCTGTTTCTCCATGGTGCTGGACTGAGCACACAGCCAGACATCAAGGGAGGCCAGGCCAGAAAGGCAGATGAAGTGAGTCCGCCATGGGTCCTTTAGAAACCAAATACTATCTCTCTCCCAACATGTGCTCTTCCTCTGACGTTCCCTTTCTCTGTAGCAAAGTAGCCCTGTATTCACTCAGTTGTCTAAGCTAAAAAAAAAAAAAAAAAAAAAAAAAACCAAAAAACAAACAAAACCAAAAACCTACTATCTCTTCAAATATTTATATCTTTATACAGATGTTTACCCTGATTTAAACTTTATACAATACATACATGTACTGAAACTTTACATGGTATTCCATAAATATGTACATTGTTTATATTTGTATTTATCACTTCAAAATAAATTCAGAGGTGGAGGTGTAGCTCAGTGGCAGAGCACTTGCCTAGCATGTGCAAGGCTCTGCGAGTCGGCCTAGCACCACAAAAAAGAAAAAGAAAATAATGCATATGGCTAAAAAATGATAAAAAGTTGAATTCCATAAAGTTTGAAATATACCATAGTATGCTACAAATATTTACATGCTTGGAACTCTTAATTTCTTTCCCAAATTTTATGTTAGTTCCATTGATATGCAAAGCCTTTCTAGAATCCTTTTTTCCTTTTCATTTTTTCCTTTGATTCTGCCTAGATGCATGTTAAGATTTAGGGCCAAAGTTCTCTGTTCTTACACTCTAGCCCCTTGGTTTACAGACTTTGAGAAAAACCACAGAAACTTTGTTTATAGTTCTTCTTCAACATCTGATTTAAATAAATCAGCTGCCTGGTTACATTTAGTCAACAAAACCTTATTAGCTATTACATTGTAGCATACAGAGATTTTAGGAGCTATAGAATGTGTGAGAGAGAATCAGTTGAATTATTAAGAACATAATTAGAAGACGCTCAGCCAGGGCAAGTTCTAATCAGCCATAATACAAGTTTATTATAAATATTATAAATAAATAAGCTATCATTCTTGCCTTTTCATTACATTATTCTTTAAGCAGATTGGAAAATAAGCAAATACAAAAGTTTAACGAGCTTTAAATCTCCATTTAATTCTCTAATAACCAAAATAAACTCAAAATATTAAGGCTAATTCTAAGAAATAACCATTTCACTTCTGATTATGCAAAGTTTCTTAGTTGGCCTATTATTTATGGATTTAAACATATTTCATTAAGTATAACTGAAAGAACCAAGTACAAAAGAGTTTCATTACTGTGCAACTTAACACACAAATCTGATTAATATATGCCAAATAATGTCTCTTGATCCCACTTAACTAACATAATAGTCCAGCCTTGGAAGCCAAAGGGAGGATCAGACATTGCACATACAAGTGACATGCTATATTCTATGAAAACAAACAGCATGACTGAGTGTCCGGCACCTTCCCCACCCTTATCTAGCTTCATGACAGTTAACTCGTGGTTAAAATTACAAAGTTCTACATAATAGCTTTTACTGCAAATGTTTTCTAGTTCCTGGAATCAATGGAGTTAAGGAAAATCACCTACATAATCGCTAAATGATGCTAAACCACCTGGATTAGAGAAAAGGGATAGGGCTTGCAGTATGAAGAAATTCAATTCTCAACCAAATAAACACTGATTGCATCCTATACAGACCTAATCTAAAGGTCTGCTACTGCAGTGGATTTTTTTTCTCCCAATTACCTATGTTGAGCCTCCAATTTCTGCTCAAGTTTTTGCTGACATAGGACAGCATGCTTCCTTTTTATAGCTTGCTCAAACCCAGGTTTCGCCTGCAAAGCATGGTCATAACAGAGCACCGAATGGTTATACTCCCCAAGCATCTGAAGAGACAAAAACAAACACACACACATACATACACAGGGGAAGAAACATTAGCTGTGGCTGTTTCCATCTGTGCTAAACCTCTCATGATTTATGAAACCACATCTACATCTCACTCTGCCATGAAAACTATTTTGATTAGTGAACGAATCTCCACAATATAAGGCCATGCTATAGTCAGAAGACACTGCTATCCTAAAGAGCTTAAAATTCCAACCAATTGTTAGTATTACTATTATTATTATTATTAAGACACTGGAGCCATTATGATACAATATTGTGTTGAGGTTTTTTTTTCTCCCTGATTTCTTCACTTCCATTGTTCAGACCAAAAGAAGCAGGGGAAAAAGAAACACTGAGAGGGGAAAAAATATCCAGAAAGTAGCAAGTGGTAAGACTCATGAAGCAAAAAGTAGTAATTACTGCGTATATATTTCCCAGAGTGTAATAGCTGGTGAAGAAGTCACTGTCATCCAGCGCTGCATGGATCACAACAGCAGCATCAGCAGAGAAGTGTGCTCTGTGTAGAACATTTGCCAGATTGACCAGGGCAATGTCTTTATTGTGCCTAAAAGATGAGCAATATAGCTAGATGTTAGCAAAGAAATGTGTTCCACAGTTATGTAGAAGTACTTGACAAGGATAAAGATACTCATAGTTACTGGGCTTAGGAAAATAAGCAGGTAGAGAAAATAAGATAATAATAATGCTTCATTTTTAAATTAAATCTGACAGCTACAAATTTTGCCACAAAAACAAGGTCTGGCAGACATTTTATGATTTTAAAACTTTTTTAGAACTTAGGTTAGCTTTCAGAAAAGTTTAGCTTACGATGATTCCTCCAGTTAAAAGTCCTTGCACTTACATTGCAAGTGAATCACAAGGTATCTACATTATGTATAATTTTTCCTTAGTGGAAAACACAGTTACTACTTTGAACTTGTGATATCTGTGAAGTTTTGTGATGGAAAAGAATATATTGCAAGGCTGCTTCTTATAGTTTTCACATTATTACTCTCTAATAGTTCTGGGTAGTATAGAAAATCAGGAGGTCCAGAAGAAGAGGAATCTTACCTGGAAGAAAAATGAAGTGCTCGCATGGCACATTCCACTACCTGATATGGCTCATTTTTTATTCTCCAGTAAAATGAAGCCATGTTATATAGTACCCAGGAGGAAGAGTTCTAGAAATAAACAAATAATAATAGTAAACAATTCAGAACAGTTTTCTTAGCACTGAATGTTCAAAATGAGCATTAATACCACATATCTTTGAAGTTCAAGATGAAGAACAAGACAGTCATAGTAGCAATAAAGCAGAGAACAAGGTACTAATAGGAGCCTCATAACCATCAGCTAGCACGCACAGAGGTACGATTTTCATAGAGATCATCCAACTCCAGGCCATCATGCCAAGGAAACTGAGCTAAAACACCCATCAAGTTCCCATAACCTGTCAGGCCCTACTTTGAGACTTAGAAATTAAGACTTAAACTACTTAGAAATGTCAGTTGCTTAAAATGAGATTCCTGAAGCAGTCATAGAGGAGTTCAGGGTAGTCATTATAGTGTGGACTAGCTAAGGTTGGCTGATAGGTAGGTTGGGTTGTAGCAGTACCGGGTTCATTAGCACAAGTGAACCCTTTAGACCTACAGGCCAGGTGAGACTATGATGTGGCCTTTCCTCTTAAGGATTCACATCTCTATTTGTATGGGGGTGTCAATCAGGATCAGATGTTGGAATAAAAGTTAGAAGGGTGTGAGATCTTCTAGAAGAAAAAGGAAGGACTATAGCAAATCACACCTTCATTAAGCATTCCATAGAATTCCATGTTTTCATTTATTCTTTGTATAGTGGAACCTTCAGATCATATTTGTTGACTTTCTAATACTGCCCAGGTATGGTGAAGAATCATCCTTAATAAACATGATATTTACACTTTCTGCATTGCAATGGTCTGCTTTCTTCTTAGGTCTCCCTTGCTGAGTAAGGACCATCTTTTTGGTCTTTGTAGATTAAGTAGGGACATATATTAGGTGACTATGTATCCATGTATATAGACTGACATATATTATGTGAATGAAAAATGACCTGGATTTAAAATTATGGATCTGTCACTCAATTGTCAAATACTTAATTTCTCTGGATTATAGTTACCCTTGCTGTACAATGGAAATTTTCCATGCTGTATATATATATATAAACCAAGAGAAATAATATCTGAAAAAATAATTTATGAAATGTCAAGTGCTCTCCTTAATTTCTTCTTCCCCATTTCTAACTTACCCTCCTTTCTTATCACTTTTCATACACCAACTTTTGCTATTCCATTAAATAGCACTTTAAATTGTTCCTGTCTGAAGAATCAGACCATAGAAAATCAAAATCAGGAAATAAATAAACGTTTCAAGGACATTTACCTTGAAATCAAAAGCAAATGAATCCTTTCTCATTATTTTTTCATTGTTCTTTCTCCATATCACTGATTTCTCTGTGAGAGGACTGGAAAACATGTTCTTTGTGTCTACGCACTGAGGATCAGGTTAAAATAATGCCTGATTCTGAAGATTTCATCCATAAAGCTCCGAGACCCTCTTCACCATCCAACGTGTGCCTGTCCTTCAGAGACTAGTCAATCCAGTCCCAAGGCTGGACAAGATGGTCATGTGCATTCTCCCACGAGGATTACACAAGGCTCTTCCACCCCAGCTCATGTAAAGAGCCTCAGGAAAGCACCATGGCCTCCATATTTCTTGGTGGATGTCCTTGCAGAACCACCCATAAGGAACTAAGCTTTCTAAATTTGGCCATTGGATGCAACATCTCTTTTAGAACCTCTGGGTGTCCTGTATTCCACTTCTCTAGAGAAAACTTCAGTCTGAAACACCAAAACTAGCACTTGCCTCCACTATTTCTGAAAATCTATCATGTTTTTCTAAAAACACACCCAAGTGATTTCTCTAACCAATCTGTAAGTCATACATCTTCAGTGCCTCCTCAGTGCTTATGGATGCCCAGTCAACCTCAAAAGTCCTGCCAATTTTACTTTATGAATCCCTTTCATGTCTTGCCCTCCCCCTTGGTCTCAGCCTATCTTAACTATCTGACATACTTCGAATGTTCATCACCTTGTACTTAGAGTCCTAATGATCTACATGGGCATTCGGCATTCTCTGTCTCATGGTGCCTGTTCCAGTTTCAATCATCATGTATCTTCTGACAGAAATTCCCAATTTTTCTTTTCTTTCTTTTGCTGTCTGTGTGTCATCTGCATCTTGGAGAATTCCAATAAATCCTTTGAGATCCAAGTCAAATATGAAAGCGGAACTGGACTGATACTCAGAAGAATCCCTTGCACATTGCTGGTACCTCTTTGATAAGACTCTTATGGACTTCTTATGGACCGCTTATGAGGTTGACCTTGTTGCAGGCACAGAACTTCATTGTTCCCCAGAGTTTGACCAATAAGAAATTCTGGCCTCTGGAGCACACTTTAGGGCTTCTCTAGTCTCTCTCTATCCTCTCCTGACACTGTTCACTCTACACCTGTAGAAGTAACACTCAGAATATTTGACTTGGTCAGTTGTTGTGGGTAGAGCTTTTAAAGTGTAAGTGGTAGTGGTCATAGCATACCTGTGAACTGTACTACTTTCTCCCAATCTCTTCCTTCTCTAATCTCTTCCAGGGACATGGCTAAAGGCTGAGTCTGCCATATGACTGGAGTGATAAAAAGGACCCCTGGACTGTGTTAAGCATCTCTTATTCTCTTTTGCTTGCTTCTTTCCTTGAATATTGATAGATGTAACATTTGGTGTCTGTTTGCCTTTCTCAATCTCACTTTCTCTGGCTTGCACAAATAAATATATCTGAACATTGCATGAAGATAATAGAATAAGTTTAGGATTTGTTAAGTTTCAAAGCTATTTAACTTTAACTAGTAGTATGGGAATGATGAGTAATCTGTGTGGTCTGGCTGGCTTACACAGCTTTGCCATGTGGAATTTGAGGCTAAAGCTACAAATGACATTAAAGAGTTTCTTTATCCTGCTGTGTCTCTTTACACACTTATTTATTCCAGGAAACCCAATATGTAAAGGTGGCTGGTCCAAGGCAGGAATTAGGTTTCCTGGCTAAACTGTATTTTTGCTAACATACAAATGCTAACCATGAAAAGCATCCCAAATGAACTGTCCCAGGAGAGAATGAAATAAGGGATCAAATTATTCCCTCTTTTGGGCTCAAAGTCCTGATGTTATTTTCAACTCCTGTCTTTCTTTTGCTTTCTGCCCAGTCAACCTCAAAAGTCCTGCCAATTTTACCTTATGAATCCCTTTCATGTCTTGCCCTCCCCCTTGGTCTCAGCCTATCTTAACTATCTGACATACTTCGAATGTTCATCACCTTGTACTTAGAGTCCTAATGATCTACATGGGCATTCGGCATTCTCTGTCTCATGGTGTCTTGAAATAAGCTTCCTAAAGTATGGGTCAAATCTTGTATTTCCTCTACATTAAAACCTTTAGAGGCCTTCATTATTTGTATCAGAATCCTTAGGCTTGTGACCAACAGTCAAAAACCTGTTCTATAGAACATTTTTTTTAGCTTCTCAATAAAATAATTGACAAACCTGGAATCAACCTTCAAATAATGGAAGGTTGCTTATAAAGATTCATACTTCCAAACTTATCCCAAAGATTAGAATAATTGACAACACCGGGTCACAAATTTTCAAATGGACAATCATCTGGAGATAAATTTGGGCTTTGTAAGTGTTCATGTGCTCTTGAACTCATCACAGCCCCTCCCCACAACAATAGACACAGATGCATATTTACTGGTACACTTTTCAACCACAGTGGATTCCTATCAGTGAAATTAAAACCTCTATCTCAAGAATAAGATCCTGACTTCTTAACCTAGTGTTACTTGATTATGCAGCAGCTGGATAATGGCACCCAAATATGTCAATGTCCTAATTCCAGCATCTGTGAATGTGTTACCATACATATTAAGAGGGACTTTGTAGATATGGCCAAGTTAGAAATCTTAAAGACAGGAGACTATCTAGTATGCCAGATGGACCCAATATCAGAACAGGCAGGAAGAACAAGTCCTCTGAGAGGATCTGAAAATGGAAGCACAGACTGACTGATGTGACCATGGTCAGGAAACACTGGGAACCTCTAGGACTTAAAAAAGGCAAGGAATGAATTCTCCCATAGCCTCCAGAAGAGGGCAAATTCGGTTTACATTGTGATTGTAACAATGTTAGGCACATTTCAGACTTGACCCCTAAAACTGTAGAATTGTGTTATACTGAATCACTAAATGTGTGGTAATTTGTTACAGCAGCAATAGGAAACTAATAATGTTCACCCCAACTTGATTAGGTATCTGTACATACATTTGGTTTGTCAGCTTTAAGAGAGTTTTTACCCTTCTTTCAATAACATATACATTTCTGATTCAAGTGTGAACTCTGTGACTCCAAATTTGCCTCAATCCTCAAATATTACCTACTTTTGAAACTTGTTCTTTTCCTTTCTACTCTGTTGGATTAGACCTAGTATGAGTTGAATGCTTCCTCTTTATCCTTCTTTTACCCTATTATTGAATGCTGACAATGTGCCAGACTTTGTATTCATGATTTATATTCATCATCTTACATAATCCTCTCAAAATGCCCCTGCCCTTAACTATCTTTCATGTCTAGGTATCTTTGTACCTAACATGCAGTCTCAACTCAGAAATATATACAAGAAGAGGTCCAAGAAGGTCCCAGAAGAAGTTTTGTACTGTGTGGGTAAGAAAGTTTGGGGTTCTATATACTCAGTATGGACTACAAGTTGGGATTAGGCACTCATGTACCCTTGAACCAACTAATTCATACCCTTTGAGAAAGGGTACAGCCAGAGAAGGACCAGAGTGGGACCTTTCAAAGAGCATGGCTTAATCTCTCTTTCTAGTTCTACGGACATTTTGATCAAATAGTCCCATGTTTATGAACCATGTCCTGAACTGGCATATCCCATCCGAGGATAAGGACTACAGTGTGTCATTCCAAGAGACTGCCAGGTTTTGCAGGTATGTCATGTGTGTTGAATAAGTTCTGACTGAACCAAAGCCAGAGGTGTGGGTGAAAGGTATCCTATATTTACTGCCTGTTTTATGCTAGTCAACAAAG